ATCCTAATTTTGAAGAATCGTTTTCAAGCATCTACACTGCCCCTAGCTTACAAAAGCGTTGGTACAATGGTACAATTTTTTATTTATTTATTTTCTAATTAAACCCGTATAATTACTAATGAATTAATCAACCAATTGGTTGTTGGTATAGTGGTGATTAGGGCTACACTTGATAGGGAGGACCGCGTGTTCGATCCCCCACAACAATAATTGGGGGGGAACTAGAACCTAACCACCTAGAACTAATCCTCGAATCCGGATTAGCCCAAAGGCTGAACCGGGTAAAACACCAAAAAAAACTAACGAATTAAATCTAGGAAAGGACTAACGGGACCATTGGTTGGCCTATCCCTCTTCCCTCTCTGAAGTAGGATGAAAGGGTTCGATTCTCATTAGAAGGGTTGTGAATAGACGAATAGTCATAAGTTGTATCTATAGGCTATAGTCTTAGCTCGGACGAGAGCTTACTCTAATGTATCTTATCAGTTATCACCAATTATAAGTTTAAAGTACGAAAAAATAAAATAAAGTCGACAATTGTATTTTCTTTAGGCTAAACAACCCTGGCCTTAACAATTTTTATAGGTTTATATGTTTAATAAAATGTAATATGCTAAACATTTATTGTTGGTGGTATTGTAGTGCTTGGAAACCATGACTACAGAGGAGATGTTATAGCACATTTGAGCCCAATTCTTAGAAAAAGAGACAGCAGATGGTTTTCCTTAAGATCTTATGTTGTCAAAACAGGTGAATATATAAATTCTACTTGTATAATTTTTTTATTTATGTAATTTACTATGAAATTTAAATTAAGAAATTAATTATCTTAAATTTGTCGTTTGCTTGAGCAGAGACTGTGGATTTCTTTTTTGTGGATACAACTCCATTTCAAGACAAATACTTTGTAGAAGACAAACATACTTATGACTGGAGAGGTGTATTGCCACGAAAACGATATCTTTCTAATCTTTTGCAGGTATTTATTCTAAAAACTAGTAACGTAACAATTAAATCAAATCAGAGATACTATTCTTAATCATTACATAAAGATCTTAAAGGTAAGGGCTTTGAGATCTTCGCAATAGTTTTACATTAAGGGTTCGAGTCTAGCTCAATAAGCTCATCCTTAAAGAAGTTTAATGCTATAGTATAACATTTATAACCAATAAAATTATGTATAATGTTGCATTGTTACTATGTAACAGGATGTGGATGAGGCATTGAAGAAGTCAAGTGCCAAATGGAAGTTTGTGATTGGTCATCATCCAGTATTGAGTGCTGGACATCATGGTAACACTGAAGAGCTTGTGGCTCAGCTTCTCCCAATACTTGAGGTAATAATGTCTACTAATCTCTCTAATTTAGTGATTTAGTGGTATCGTCTTGTAATTTGGTATTGTCAAAAAAAAAAAAAAAAATCCCATAAATTTCAAACAAAGCGAATTAATACGAGTAAGCGGCACATTTTAACCTATAAGTACGGAGCAACTATAAGTATACTCGTGACATGAATACTCCGAAAATGACTAAATATCACGCTAGTTTATAATAACTTATTACGGGTCTATCTCATCGTACCTTCTTTTTTTGGGTGTAAGTGTTTTGCACACAAATTAAAATTTGATGATTAATGAATTCACAGGAAAACAACATTGATCTTTACATCAATGGACATGACCACTGCTTGGAGCACATTAGCAGCCCAGACAGGTAATTTATCTATCTTAGAGCTTTTGTTTTACTTCGTATTTTTCTTGTTGGCATATAATAATGAAATGTAGGGCCATGATTTTGACAACTATTGGGCTTCTTTCTTACAACTAATGCTAATTGATCTGTTATCAAGATAGTGGGCCCCCAACATAACGTTTTGTCCCACAAATTTGATGTTCATTAAACCTAAATAATGATGACAATAACCAACGAACCATTCCACCAATTAGCCAATGTCATCTACAAAATTATCTCAAAAATAATGATGACAATGAATGAGTTAAAATATTATAACCAAAAAAACAAAAAAATAAAAAATAAAAATAAGAATGAGTTAAAATATAACTCGTCAATCCGATTTAAAATTTTGGGCACGCTCAGTATTACTGTATCTATTTTTTTTTTTTCAAAACCATATGATATACTTTCTTTGTTCTTTTTTATTTGACCTGTTTCTTTTATCACGCTTGTCAATGCAAAACTTCAACGATTAATAACTTTAATTCTCCATAAGTAAAAATTATAAATGTTATATATTATGATAGTAGTTATTGAGACAAATTAAAATATATCCCACATGAATATGTTTTTCCTTACATATTATCCACAAAATACGATCAAGGGAGGGGTGCTGAATAGTGTAAAAATCAAAATGAGTCAAGTAAAAAAAAACGAAGGAAGTATGTCATAAAATAAATCAAAAATTGGTCAAACTCATATAAAGCATGATAATTTTAAAACTGAAAACAACGTTTTCAAGCTTCCTATTTTTAGTTTTTTGTTTTCAAAACAATAGAAAACTGGAAAAAAAAAAGAAAAAAAAAAAAAAAAAAAAAAAAAAAAAAAAGGATCACGAACAAGCCCCTCGGGTCCCTCAGTTTTTGTGATTTGGATATTTTGGATCAAAAATGGCCTAATGTACTTGTTAGGTCGAGTTTGAGTTCAAGCTTTGTTTTGCATCAACCATATTGTCCATATACTATTTTGCCAAATGAAAACTAATTAATTTAAATTGGAAACCTTATGAAAATACGTAGAATTTAACTTACAAGAGAGATTTAATGAAGTACTTATGATATTATTGGGCAATATGCAGTGAAATCCAGTTTTTGACTAGTGGAGCTGGCTCGAAGTCATGGAGGGGTGATGAAAAGGAATGGAACCCAGAGGAGTTGAAGTTGTATTATGATGGTCAAGGCTTCATGTCAATGCAAGTGACTCGAACTCGAGTTGATATAGCCTTCTTTGATATCTTTGGCAATACATTGCACAAATGGAGCAAAGCAAAACCCGGCTACTACACATATTAGCAACAAAGAACATCCCCATTTTGACTATGATTAAAAGATTAAGAAAATGTTAATGTAATTAATTGAAGATATTATTGAAGCATAGACACCAAATATGTCATATTGAGGAGAATCAGTACGTAGTTGTATCAATGATCTTCCTCATTGTTGTTGTTGTAAATGGTGTTATGAGATGTCATATTATGGTGTATAATAAAATTGATTTACATTACTAATTAGTCAATACTTTGTGGCATACTGGCGTGATCTTCGTAATTTAATTGAAGTTTTTATGACCCTTGTTATTGGGAATTGTACTTTATCTCCAATGAGTCCCAAATTTCTTTTGCCTTCTTGAAAAGAATGTATAGATAACAAAGAAGATTGGAAAGATTAAAATGTAATGTGTCCTATACACAACACCTCACCTTCCTCATACATCTTACGTTCAACCTTGGTCTTATTAGTGTTCTTGATAAGATGATAATTAATTTTCTCTTCAGTTGACTATTTTACGTTCAACCTTAGTCTTATGTTTGTGGACCAATAATATTATTATGTTTGTGGACCAATAATATTAGAGTCACTGTGTTAAAATATTGCTATTTAGGATAAAGATTGTTATTGTAAGTTAATAAAAGGTCACTATGTTAATGAAGGTTATTCCCGTCAAAAAAAAAATGAAGGTTATTACTTATTATATGTTAAAATATAAGTCATTGTGTTATAATAAAGATCATAAAAGATTAATTTATTTTGTAATGAGATTTTTATTACATTGGTCAATATAAATAATAAAGGTCACTATATTTAAATAGAGTCACTATGTGTCTATATTGAACATAACATCGACTGACACATGTGAACTTGAAATCCACAAAAATATTATTATAAATCAGGTCCACAAAATATTAAAGAAAAAATTGAAAAGAATAATCCCACTTTTCCTCGACCTGATCAAAATGAGTCAATCTTTACGTATTTTGGTAAAGAGTCAACCTTTGCCCCCTAATTTTTTCAAAACAAACCTTTTTACTAATCATTGTCGTACTAGTTTGATTGCGGGCCTTCTCTGATTCTTGGTAATTTCTTTGTATAATTGTATTCTGTTGTTGTCCAATAAACTTTGTAATTATGTAAATGACAAGATACGTTTCTATTGTATGACAAAGGCGAGTGTCATGTAACATGTGCACTTACGTACTAAGCAAAGTTTGGCCTTATGGATAGGATGTAAGGTAATGATCAATTCCCACTACCCAAGGACACTCTAGGGTGAGGATTTTCTTGACCTTTCCCCCTCACTACCAAAGAGTCTTGCTTGCTAACTCAAGTCAAGTTGATCGGCAGTCTTTAACATGTATATTTTCCTATTTAAACTATTGGCGTTAAAAGAGCCACAGGAGCGAGTGATGAAAATCAATCCCAAGATCACCTGAAATCGGGAGGGGAACTCTAACCACTTGAGTTGTCCCTCACTCTCTTTTTTTTTTTCCTTGGATGTAAACTCTTATGTTTGTTACCAACTAACTAACAACTATCTATGTCCACATGCATAAAATATTGTAGGGAAAACAATGATAAGGAACTACGGAGAACTCAACTAGTGCAATGAATTTTATGCATAGGCAATGTGAATGACTAGCTTACAACCAAGATCGATGAGCAACATGATTACACGCCTATTCAACTCGAAACGCAAAAATGGAAATAAAGCACTACAAGTTGGCTAAAAGTCTAAGACATTTATAATATTAAATTACAAGTAAACTCTTATGTAATTATAATTTCCTAATACTCGTATAAAAATGCTTGTCACCTGCATGACATCTAACAAACTGTTCGATAACCTTATCAAATATCAACTAGCATATAAACTACGAGTATTGTCTAGTTTGATTAGACGATCATGGAAAGTAATTGATAATCAATAATAAGCACAATTCCTAATGACATACGACTATACGAGTATATAGGGCTAAAAAGGATTTCGTGTTCATCATTACAATACCAAATTGGTAATAGCATTGAAAGTTGATGTGCTAAAAAATTAGACAACTACTGATATATATCGGTGTAGTATGGAGGTAAAAAAAATATTAGAAGCAGCAGCTACAGGAGATGTAGCAATCCTCAATGAAATTTCTCACCTTACTAATGCTGTTAATCTCCTCTGTAGTACAGTTGATGAGGGTGCGAACAACATCATTCACATTGCAGTGAAAAATGATAGGGAAATTTTCATTGGTAAAGCTTTACAAATGGTACCACAAATATTATTATGCAAAAAGAATAACAAAGGGAGGAACGTTTTTCACTTAGCTGCCGAGAGAGGGCATAAGCAGATTGTGGAAGCCCTTGCCGACAGTTTTCATCGTGCTGCTAAAGTTCCCCATACAGGGCAAGAAGAGGAAGTTAGGGTAGAGATTGGAAGTGATCAGCCACCATGGATCGAAAGAGATTTGAAGGGGGTGAACCCGCTCCACATAGCAATCAAGGGTGATCACCAGGAAGTAGCAATGTATTTGCTATCGCTTGATCCTTTGGAGTTAATTTGTGATGCTTGTGACGAAGATGGTGGCAGTCCTCTCTACCTTGCAATAGAGAAGGGGTGGGAAGAGGCTGCCTTGAAAATGTTGGAGGTAAAAGACATCCCATACAACCAGCCCAACTATCGAAATCCCTTAAGCGTAGCGCCCTACTGCTCAGGTAAGATTAATATGCTCGATCAATTCAGTTTACGGTTTTCACATTTGTTCTATACATACATACATTTTACACAATCTCTTTTGACCATTTTTTGTGATTTATCTAAAAGAAAAACATACTTATGTTGAATCGAGTTAGATTCATCTCAAATCTCAATATCTACTTTTCAAATATCAACTTTTTAGGTAGTATATTTTTTGCTAAATTATAATTAAATATTTTAGATCTTATCAATTGGCAAGCCGGGGCATAAAAAATATGCTCATTTCTTGGGTCGGGTCGGCCCTAGCTTCGGGCCAAAATTTCATGCCCAAAATGGCCGGGTCTTGCGGGCTTTTTGGGCCGGACCAAAAAAAAAATAAACTCAAGTAGCATAAAAATACATTCCCAAGCCCGTCCAAAAAATTTTAAAAATTGGGTTGAGTTGGGCGGAAAAAAGCTATCCAAAATCCGCCCAAATTCAGGCCGGGACAGCTGTAATCAGCTCTAAAATATATCTGTCAATCTGACAAATGTGATATCACAAATAGTGCAATTAGAAACGGAAGATGTATATTTTATGTGACTTTCTTTTTCTGATTTGACAGAAAAAGTGTTTAAAAAACTGCTGAAGGAATACCCAACCCTTGCCAAGAAAAACAATAAACGTCAAGAAATCTTCCTTCATGAATGGGTAGACGAGGTTGAAAATCATAAGCCGGACGCCTTGAAATGGTTATCACAAGACGATCCTACCTTACCAGATTGGTCCAATGTCTTGAAAAGAGTAATATGTCACAAGAACAACTTTGGTAATAATCCTCTTCACATTGCTGCTAGAGTAGGCTATGTTGAAGCCGCAGAGCTACTTGTAGGAGCATATTCACAAGGCCAAGACCAAGGTGAAGGCGAAGATCAGCCACCTTGGTTACAACAGAACAAATACGGGGCCACTCCTTTGCTTATGGCGCTCGAGCATCGTCAGGAAGCCGTGGCCTTGTGTTTATTAAAAGTTGATCCGGCTTCACAGTGTAAGATAGCTTCTAAAAGCAAGGAAAGCCCGCTTTTTCTTGCTGTCCAAAACCGGTGTGTTAAAGTAGCAAAAGAAATGATAAAATCACACAAACGATGGAATGTGCATGATGTTGCTTTACATACTGGTCCAAACAAACAAAATCCTCTTCATGTTGCTTCAAACTGCTCAGGTATCATTCATTATTCGCTCATAATAGAGTTTGTACACATTAGAGTATTAACTTGATGATCTAGATATATATATTTGCTTCCTAATAGTTGTTCTGTTCGTCGAAACAAGGCAGATATTGCAGATGTCCTGACCAGATCTTATCCTGAGTGGGCAGAAAGCCAGGATATAAATGGAAATACGCCCCTAGACAAAGCAGCAAAAGCAGGTAATATGGAACTAATTAAGTCACTAATGGAGTGTTCTGGATCAGAGAATGCACCTAAAGCTTGGATCAAAGCCTGCGAAGGTGGCCACACAAAAGCTATCCTCGAGTTTATATCAATTCAATACGGGAGATCTGGTTTCTTGGAGCTTTATGAGCAGCAAACTGATACACCTCTGCATCACATCTGCTTAAAATGTGAAAAGGAGTATGATGAATTCTTTAGTATTCCCGAAGTAGAAACACTGAAGGATAAGAAAGATAAGGATGGCGCAACACCATTGCATCGGGCCATAGAACGAAAGGACGAGTATTTGTTGAAGTATTACTACGTAAAGGTGCTGACTTGACTGTCAGAAACAACAATGGTGAAACAGCCTTGAATATGCTTGCAAGAGAATGCAAGGAATCACAGGAATGGGTACGTCCTACAAACTTTATTACCATTAACTGTTTTTAATGTTAATTAGGAATTCACTGAATATTCACGAAGCCAAACTCCTACATTGCTATACCATCTACGATTGCAAAAGCATTAGTATGCAACAGATTCGTCCTCATACTTGTAGAACAATAGCCACTTTATTCACCAGTAAAGCAAAATCAAGGAGTCTATTGCAGCGAGCCAGCAACCATATTGCTAGCCTGATTGGTGGTACTTCAGTTGGGTCAATATTATACCAACAATTAAACTATATATCTGTTTTGTAGGATTCAATGTGCAAGCGTTTGGGTTTGAATCCAAGAATAAGAACAAGCTATGTGCAACCAAAGACAAACTTGGGGGAAATGCGAGGCACAATGTCTGTAGTGGCAGCACTTCTAGCCACAATCACATTCGCAGCTGGTATACAAGTTCCTGGTGGGTATAAAAACAGTTTGGAATATGCAGCTCTTGGAAGAAAAGGAGCTTTCCTAGTGTTCTTAATATCAGATACATATGCAATGTGTTGTTCTCTGCTGGTCTTGTTCTGCCTTATCTGGGCCATGGGTTTGGATCCCGATAAATCACTACTATTAATCGACCTCAGTGTTACTATACTCCAGCACTCTCTGGTTGGCACTCTGCTAGCATTCATGACTGGAGTTTTCGTAGTAGTGTCTCATGAGACCTTGTGGGCAGCCATTGTTGTAATTTTTATGTGCTCTTTAGTCCCATTCATAGCCTACAAGAAGATTCTTTTGAAACTACTTCAGAAGTTCATCCCTACAGCACAGTGAAGTTAGGAGACTTGGAAGGTATTTAGGTTCAAAGAATTTCAAATTCGTAGGTACCAAAATGTACTCTGAAGGTCTTCTATTCATAGTATTTCTAAACTTTATCAAACATCTTCATTGAATTTCTTTTTTATAAGGCCACGGGGTGTACTAGCACCATTTCTATATTGGTAAAGCTCTAATCCTGAGTAAAATCAGATCAATTAGACATAAAGATAATGAGTCACTGAGTCAAATCAGAAAAAATCGGACTGGATCACCAGAACCTTCAAAAACCAAATCAGAATATCTTAAATACTACGTAATAGTAGTAAGTAAAAAATTAAAGAACAAAGCCTCTCAAACCAGATACAATAAGATAGGCAGCCTTTAAGGACAGACCCCTCTAACCAAGTGAACATGAAAATGTAAACTAAACGAGGCAAGTACTCATGTAGTTTTAGACTTTAGTACAATAAAAACCTTCTCAAAAAAAAAAGTACAAAAGTAAATTAATTATAAAAATAAATAAATAAATATTAGCTACTTACACTGAACAACAATCTCTACCCTAAGTTTTGCTTTTCCTAATAAGTATTACTACTCCATATACACGTTTACATCATAAATTTTCATGCACTCAAAATAGATAACAGCGGCATGGACTCCTTTCTGATACTTGCTACCCCTGCATGTCAACAGCCCTTCATCGTTGCTTGAGCATTCATACATACCCTATGTTAAATTTATCTATCTATACCAACGTTCAGACAGCAGATGCTTTGAGTTATCTCAGCAAATCAGCAGTACGTGCCACACTGATCAGGCAATTCAAATCGGCACAAATCTTCAGTATTTTCTTTGTCACTTCCATGCCCTTCCCAACAACTGACCCTGCCTCATCCATCCTCAAAAATTAATCCTGCCTGCCCATCATGAACCCCCATCCCCAGCAATTCTGCCCCTCTCAGCCACTAACCATGCCTGCTTTTTCTCTCAAGTCTTAAACGAATGAATTCCACCCAATTGATCAACTCTAAAGAATCTGTTACGTTGCTGCTACGCTACCTTGTCTATGTGCCCATAGCACTGCGCCACAAACTAAGGCCTGGTGCTGATACCCCACCCAAGCCCATGCTCAGGCACCAATATTTAACAAGGCCTCACTGTCCCTAGCCAACACAAACCAGAACCACCAGCATGCATACCCACATCAGGCCAACAAAAGTGTGTCAAGTGTATTCCATGCACCCCAACACCCAATGAGATTTCCAATCTCACACTACATTAAAATTAATATGTCATGGAACACTTCACAGAGACGAATAAAAGCCTAATACACCACTCATCACATAACAAAATCAAAGAAAATACACCCAACAGAAAGCACTCCCATCTTAACTTCAGGCAAAGCACCCACATAAGAGCCAAAAGGAAATCTAGATACAATTTTTCACCATTAGAGGAATTCATAGATTAGCCCTCAATCCAATAGACTCTATAGATTTCTAACATGCTGTCTTCCGGTGTAAGTATCCTACCAAACAAGTCCACTCCATTTCTAACTTATATTTGATCAAGAAAAACCTTCCTCCTACCCTAACCACCTACCAACGAAATCTTAATTAAGTAATGATGAAAAGGCAAGGTTGAAGTAGCAACTTTACTTTTACAGCGCACATTCAGGGAGGTGTCAGATGGAGTAGGGCTTGATGCCTTTCTTCCGCATATAGGTCAGGAACTGCTTGGGTATTTCTTCCAAACAGCACATGAATCGTTCATCAGCTGCCAATTAATAGTAGGAAATAATCACCAGATGATAAATTTGGCTCCAAATTTTATGCGGATTGCAATGGATATAACAATAAATCGTTTTCCAAAAGGAAATACTTCTAACTACGTATTTAGTTCAAGAAGGATGAGAGGCAATTAGGCATTGTTTTTATAAGTTTGAAACTATGCACAATTTTGCAAACATTCAAACAGCTATCCAAATGTAGTCAATGGGCATATGCCAATGCTTTTACAATAACATAGTGTCTGTATACTCAGTGCATAAAGGCAATCAAGAAGAGCAAACGAAATAAAGGCACACAACACCTTTACAAAAGCCTGTAAGTTTATGATAAAGAATATGTAAACACTCCACATTTTCTGTAAAGATATATGTTGTGTAATCTCTCTGATTTGGGATACTATCATTAAACAAAATATTAAGGAGTACAACCCTTCCCTGAAAATAAAACCATTATCAGGCAAAACTAAGATTAAAATTAGGAATAATAGAGTTTATTAATCCCAACTTTTACCAATTTACTTTCATTAATCCCAACTTTGGATTATTCCTCAATAATCTCAACTTTGGATTATTCCTCAATAATCCCAACTTTAAGGTGGCCTATCTTTCTTCATACCCAAACCGGTCAACAAAAGTCAATGACCTAATTTTCTAGGTCACTTGACACATGTCAAGCTGTAAGTGGTCCAAGAAATAAAAGAAAAAATCAATTAACAAAAAAAGAAAAAAAAATATCAAAACCAGCCACCACCAACCCACAACCACTGGCCCCTTCCATCCACAGCCAACCCCGAACCACTGCCTCCCTAACCCCAACACCCAAAACCTCCCCGGACGCCGCCCTAAACCCGCGAAACCAGCCCCCTCTACCTCCCCCCACCCCCTAAACCAGCCATAGCCAAACCCTTGCACCGAAACCGCCACCCATAAAACCCGAAACCACTCATAACCAAAGCCCACGTCCTTGAAACCGTCCCCATACCCTCCCCCCCACCCCCAAAACCACCTGTAAACCCTCGAATTCACCTCCCCCGCCCCTAAAACCACCTAAAAAACGCAGCCCGCTCCCTTTCTCTTTCCTCTAATTGCCGGATACCACAATCAACGGGAGTGATGGGAGGGTTTCCAGTGCAAGGAGGGTTTTCGGTAGGTCGAAAAAGTGGGGTTGGGGGATCATAGAGGGTAACGGGTGTGGGTCTTGCCGATTGAGGAAGTGTGGCCACCAGCGTTGGGTGGCTGGTGGTCTTTGGTTTTTTTTCTTTTTTTTTTCCTTTTTTTTTGTTTTTTTAATTTAAATTATTTTTTTCTTTTATATTTTTGAACCAATTAGAGTGCAAAACATGGATATAATTTGTTTAAAAAAAAAAATTGACCCTTTCTACGGGTAACCAGTAATCCGGATTAAAGAAAAAAACGTAGGTGAAAGTTGGGATTATTTAAAGTAAATTGAGCAAAGTTGGGATTATTAAAGTGTATAATTCCTTAAAATTATTATATCTCCTATAATCCTGAAAGCAACTAAGAGATCCAATTTGAATTTCCATAAAATGGACAAGAATTTGCACTTCAACTATCCTGAAAGTTATGTTCTGTTCCTTTAATACCATAACGGCCCAGCAAGCCAACAAATACCATTCCGTCATCTAAATATATACCCTTTTGCATGTTAATTCAGAATTTTCCAGGTTATAAAGCCAAACATTTCAACCAAAAGACAAATATTTTAAAGAAAAGTTAAACCAAATATTCACTTCTTATTTTCCTCCATAATTTTACTGCTATGTTTTGTCTTAGAAAATTACTTTAGTTTACCCGCTTCTTATATAATCCTGTTTTTAACTTTGGTTTACACTTCACTGCCATCACATCACCCCACCCTACTTTGGTTTACACTTCTCTGCCATCACACACACCACTCTAGACTTTCCTAACCTCCTTGGTATTTGTTGTTATAGTAATTGTGACCATCATATAGAAACAGAGGTATATATATATTCAAAATGAATTGATCATTTTCTCTTAGCTATTCTCAAAACCAAAATTGCTCTAAATTCCAACATGATACCTCTGTGATGCTCAGATTGCTATCATCACAAGGCAATAAGCTCAAAATCAAAGACAAAATGAACTATGAAGAGATTGGAAATACTTCCAACTTTAAGTGAAACTATATTTTGATGCCTTCCAATGTGTTTGAAAATAACACATACAAGGCAGTAATGAACATATTAATTATTTAGTACAAAAAACGGATACAGAAAAAGTATCACTTTAGCAGTGTTCGACTCACCAGACACATTACACTTTGGCATGAAGCGTACTATATCTCTCAGAGCCAAAACACCTTTAAAATCCTTCAGCAGATGCCCAGGACAAAGTTTCTGTTATCAAGCATGTTAGTAGTGTATATATATAATCCATCAATAATATATTCACGTAAACTGTCATCACCAAAAGAAGTTGACCCTTACCTTCATCTTCTCAAATCTTTTGTCATCACCAACCCCGACAATAAGGATTGACAATGGTAAGTTGGATGCTTTTACCAAAGAATCAATGGTATCTTGAATACCAAGCAAGTCTCCATTCTACACATATAGTAGTGTTTCAAATTATTAAGAAAAATAATATGCAGGCATTACCCAAACACAATTACAGTCATATATTGCATGCTTACCGTTACAATAAGTAATACATAGTACTTCCGACAATTACGGTCACAAGGCTCGGAGACAAAGCTAGAGGCTTTCTCAATCACCTCACTCAATGAGGTGGGGCTGTGAAACTTGACCTCTGCCAAAGCAGAGCGATAGGCTTCTAAAATACCTTCAACTCCTTTAACCTGTAAAGACAAAAAAGTTACTATCAGCATTAACCACATAGGCTCTGTGCTCTCCTCAGCTAATTATAAATAAATTTCAATCAAAGTTAAGTTTAGTTCAGCAAAATCAAGTTCGGCAAAGCAAAGCTGAGGCTAGAAATATTTTTCAACAAAAATAAGCCGGGGATAGTTGCACAATAGCTAGAGTCCTTTTCATTGATAAGTTTTGAGTGTTAGCAGTATTAATTTAAGTTCTGGGTATTCCTATTGAAAATAATTAGCTTTATAGAGATCTTAAAGAGTGCAATAAGAAAAAAGCACTGTAATCTCAAGTGATTTCAAACTTAATTGTTCCTACCACACAATTGGTTGAATCCGGTTCCAAGTTGATGCAGGACAACATTTTCCCGTTAGTTTTCCTCCAAAACACCAAGCAGGGAAACGTCGATCAGAATCGTAATGTTCAATAGCCCTACCAATATCCTTCAAAACCTGCAAATAGAATGTTGTGAAGGTGCTCTCAGAGGTACTGTTTCTTTTCTAAATGAGACTTGGAAATCAACCACACCAAAATTCAAATTTAAAAATCAAAAATAAAAAAATAAAATAAGAGCTAAAAATATCTTGACCTTTCATTTCCTTTAATGTGTGTCCATTATCCGTATATGTAACAAAAAGATTGTATTATGATTCTTCACAATTATAGGTGGTTCCATATAAAAATTAAAGTAAAAAAAAAAAAATTGACACGTGATCGTTATCATATTAAAAAAAACATCAAAGAATTCTGGTGAAGATGACTTACTTGCAGATAGGCATTCAAATTGCCAGAGGAATCGATGATGTGAAAGGGATCCAAGCCTTCTGGGTCTACATCTGTCACTAGATGAGATGAGGAACACCATTGGTGAGCATATTGAAAATGCTAAGTGTAGATGAGCTACAAGCCTCTTATATTGTACAATCAAAACTCCAAAAGATATAGCAACTACTATATGATCTAACATCAGCACCAAATATAATCAGAACTCATACAACGAAAACATACCAGCAAAATCGACAGCTACCATGAGACCAATCTCGTAACCATTGTTAATAAAGTCAAGGAAGCTATGACTTTCAAGAATATCCACAGATAGCTGACTGTTACGATTCTGTCACAATCAACATCAATCATCATTCACAAATAATGTAACATTGCAATGCATAGAATAGATAAAGGGAGGGGAAAGGTCAATGTATCATCCTTAAGGAAGCATACTGAAGCACCTTTTTAAGACCATGAGAAGACTCCTCACTGTTACGTTTTGCTAGATCGGATACTGGTGCCTGCCATGTGCTATATGAAAAATACTATCTAAATCAACTATCTACTGTAGAGGTTGCTGAAAAGCAGAGATATACTGAAAAGAATTTATTTTAAAAAAAAAAAAAAAAAAAAAAAAAAAAAAAAAAAAACATAGGGAACCAAAAAGAATATTTTTACCCAAATAAAGTATGATTGCGATTGCTGCTGAAGTTATAGCCTTCAATGATTAACTCGTCACCCTGCAAAAAATAACAGGATTTTCTTTGCTAAACGAACTATATACATCTAGTTTCTTAGCCAATCAAAAGAAGAGATATCAAGAACTAGGTATACTTGCCTTGCCACCAATTTGCTGCATATTAAGATAGACACTCCACTCAGGTTTCGGATTGTTCTTCACCAGTTCCGTGGTGCAGATTTCATTGGCTGTCCCGTTTGCATTTTTTTTAATACTTTCAGGAATTGACCCTAGAAACATAAGCAGAAGAATGAAATGAAAATTCCATCTGTAAAAAATTATTGACATGAGATTATTCACTAGGGTAGATTAGAAGATAATGAAACAACCTTTTTAGAAATTCCATTATGGGTACAAATTTTGATCAATAGACCTCTTGATGCCACAGTCTCCTCTGCTTGAACAGTCAGCGTTCCTATATGTTGTCCCATTTGTTTGTTTTCTAGACGTAGAGAACAAGTACTCTCCATACCTACAACAATCTGATGAAGTGCAAAAGAAAAACATTAGAAAAGAACAATATTCAAGCTTCAAAAATACAATCATGAGTCTCAATCTAGCACTAAATGCAAGTTGCCTCATACTTGAGACATTTGGGAAGAAGGGTATATATACCTGAGACAGAAGAACGCTGCTTTCTGCAAGAAGTTCTTCCTCATGCAACATGAGATCCTGCAAGAGATAATATGTAGTCTAAAAAACATAACCTTTTCAAATACTTTTATATAGCTTAGTAATAAATATGTCATTAAGACAGCAAACAGCCAACTAATTCACCAGAAAATTAGACAAGTTAGAAAATTCTTAAGTCGAGGTATTACCGCTACAAGTGTGCTGTGATTTTCTGGATAGACGTGATAGAGACGTAAGCTGATATGAAGCAAACATAAGGAATATGCTTTAGTCCGAATTGTGAAAGCTTTAGCAGACATAATTGTCCAAAGTTGAAAGGACACAAAGATAAAGCTTACATTAATGGCTGATTGTCCCCAAAACAATATTTGACTGGCAGTTTATTAGACCGGAAAAGATCTAACTCTGAACTGCCCTCAAAGACCTCTGTACGACCAATTTCTTTAATAATCTCCTCGTCCTTTTCCCCCTTGAATATTGCTAGCAGCAGATTGCTCTGTGTAGTGTGTAGGAGAATAACATTACTCAGAAATTTTGTGAAATGACAAACTTACAAATGCTTGAAAAAAGCAATATGGAAAGACGAGTTAAGCATACAATCAAGACCTCACTTTTCACATTTTTCACCATTAAGGACCTTCCACCTTTTTTTCTCACCGTTAGAGCTCACCGTTGACCTATGTTTACTTTTCCGACAAAAATTAACTACTGTAGTTAAAAAAAGTTAGGTCCTTGGGTTTAATATTTTACCTTTTTTAAAAAAATCAAAATAAGTATGTTATTTTTTTTATTTTTTTTGAAGAAAAATAAGTATGTTATTTATTATTTTACCATTTTCTCTCTTTCTCATGTCTTCCCCATCACCAAACTTCCTAAATCACCTTAACACCTTCTAAAACTTGCATCCATTACAAAATAAAATCCACAATTAATCGGTGGTGGAGCTGCCATGGCAGTAAAACTGGGGGTTATAGAGAAATCAACGCCAAAAATTGTGACTCAAATATTGGAACCTGGCTAAAGGTGGTTCGTTAAAAACAATATATTAAAAAAAAAAAAAATGAATCAGATCTCTCTTCTTACAAGTTTGTTTTGAAGGTTTTTTTTTTTTAATAAAGTTTTTTTAAAAGGTGATTATACACAAAAACGCAATTTTAAAGTGTGGTTTATGACAAATTATCCATTCTTATCTATTTTGATTTTCAACCGCCCTCCACCTTGTCAACTGGATCAAAAATTCCCAAAAAATAAAACTAGTTCAGCAGAAATTCATTATTTGGAAAAAAAAAAAAAAAAAAAAAAATTATAAGACCAATTTTCCTATGTAGTGGCAAAATTAATTGAAGTCACTCAAAAAAAAATTGGTCTTCCACATAGAATTTCTGATTCTTGAAGGCCACCTTGTAGAATTTCCCAAAGGAAAAAAAAAAAAAAAAAAAAAACATTTTACACTCCAAATCTCTCCAATTTTGGAGAGATTATACTTAAACAAGAGAACTTGTCCTCCTCACTCCATCTTCTCTTTATTTCCTTCCATTTCTTCTATCCAAACAAAAGGAAGATAGAATATAGTTCAAGCTCATTCAATTTCAAAAAAATAATATAATAAATAAATATATTAATTCTTGGATCATATTGAAAAGAAATAATAGATTAGAGCATAAATTCCATCCCTGCTGCTTCATTGATTTACAGGTTAAAAACAAAAAAAAAAAAAAAAAAAAAAAAAAAAAAAAGGGACTGAACCAAACTACCCGTCGGACGAAAAGACACATACCCTGGGATTTTCATTGAGCTCACCCGACTGTATTTTGAGTGAAAATGATAACTAAAAAAAAGAAGAAGAACATTACAATACTGGGTATAATCTCCACAACAAATCACGAATTACAAACTTCTAAATAAGGCGGGTTTACCTCGATATTTGAGTTATAATTGGCATAAGAAGGTGCTGGTTCCGGTGCCGGTGCTGGTGCTTTGAGGTTGTCATCTAAATCTGCTGGAGGCAGTGATTCGGGGTTGTAATTGCAAATGCGGTTATTAATCAAATTTCCCATTAAAATGAAAACTGAGTGTTTTTTTTGTTTTAAATAAATATTGAGAAAATGAAAGTTTCTTAACCAGGAGAAATAGGGAGGTTTGATAGATAGAAAAGAATAAAAGCAGAGTGCATTATATAGAACAAGGTGGTTTTTTCAGAGCATGCACATCGGTGAGGAGCAACCCTCCTCATAACTCTCTCTCTCCTCTTGTGAGTTGACTCATTACATACTCTCTGAAGCGTTACTGACAGTTGCTGTGAGTTGCTAACTTCTTTTACAAGGGAGTCTGATTTTTTTTTTTAAGTCCAATTATCACATGACACTTGGTCATGAATATTTTAAAATATGACTTTAGGCTACCCAACTATTGTAGTTGAATCACTTTTCATGAATATGACAAGTTGTATTGCTATTTGCTTGAGATGCTGTAAAATGCAACTACTCTTTATATCTTTTACACTCAATATTGCAATTATTGCTCTAACGGTAATTTTAACATATTTCGAAAAATTAATTTCACCAACGGTATACTTATAATTTTATCTATAAATAGAGCCTAATATTGATATAGTTTTTCACCCTTAAAATTTCACCCTTCTATTTTTCATTATAAAAATATTTTGTGATTATGGATCTTAATAATCCTAATTACGGAAGTGGTTCCTCTCAAAATAATCCAAATAACCAATCTTCCAATTCTCCAAATTTCCAAAGTAATTTTCATTTTAATCCAAATAACCCTACTAATCCAAATGCTCAAAGAATGTTATTTTATAACATTTCTAACCAACCAATGCATCCAAACCAACAATTTCTACAACAATTTCCAAATCAATTTCCAAACCAAAATTACACACAACAATTCTCAAACCAATTTTCAAACCAAAATTTGCAACAAATTCCCCAGAATTATCCATCTGGTTTTATGTTCCCGATGTCACAACATTATGGTGTGAACCAAATAATTCAAAATAGTCCAACAACTCCTGAGGGAGAAAGAAGCAGTAACTTAACCCCACTCGATGATCCAAGGGTTCCACAACAAGGTAATGATGATGTTGACGGTGTAGGTGATGATGATGTTATTGAAGCTCCCCACGGGAGCAACACTCATTATGGCCAAACTTTGATCTGTTGTCGGGGCAGAAAAATGGGGTGCAAAAGAAGATGATGCGCTCGTTTCGGCTTGGGTAGAATGTTCAGTTGAAGATCCAGAGACGGCAACAGATCAAAGTTTGGCCATAATGTGGAGGAACATACAATCCCTTTATGATCAAGCCAGAGAAGAAAATCCATCTACCATGCGCCCTAGAACTTTAAGATCTATGAAAAGTCGGTGGGCAAGAATAAATAAAGATGTGAGTACATGGGTTGGTTGCTATAGTGAAGCAAAAAAAAGGTATATGAGTGGTACCAACACTCATGATAAAATGACCGAAGCTCATGAAATATATAGAGGGACGTGTAATGGTTCACGCTTTGGTTTAATTGGTTGTTGGGAGATGTTGAGAGAGTTAGACAAATGGAAGCCAATAGACCTAGATTTACCTTCTAGTGATGGTGGAAATTCGAAAAGATCAGAACCAGATACTCCAACTGATGAAGATCCAAAAACTCATACTCGTCGCCGTCGTCCTGACGGGGTGAAAGCATCAAAAAGAAAAGGTAAATCTATTGTCAATTCTGGAATTCAAATAGGGGGTAGTTCTGAAATTAAAAATTTAGAGTCGTTTACCGAAGCCCTATTAGAGATGAATGTGATGAAAGGTCAACACAAAGATGTTGATGAAAGGCGAATTGATGTAGCAGAACGTATGCTAGAGTATCAAAAGGAGCGAGATGCCATCAAAGCTCGGAAGAAACAAGAAGAAAAAAGGTTCAAGCTATTTAATGTCCTTCTTGCAAAACCAATTCTATCTGAAGAAGAAAAGGAAATATATCTAAAATTAAAGCAAGAATTTGCACATCTTCTAGGCTAGTTTAAATATCAATTAAGGTAGTCAAACTACATGTGTATTATTCTAGTTTTAATTGATGTAATGTTACTTATGTTGTTTTAACAATTTCCACTACAAGAAACAGGCTGTATAGCGACGGAATTTCCACTACGAAATATGCGTAATTTAAATGCTCTTTGTTTATTACCCAATAAATTATTTCTTGTAAATAATAATAATATAAAATTAGCTCCATAATGAGAAATTTTGTAAAATATGACCGACATGCAATGCTACATTGAAATATCACATGTTGACAGAAAATCTGTAAGCAATATCAGAGAATCTCATCTTAAACTGTTATGTGTACCCATATATTGAATTGTCATACAAAAGAAATCTACAAACCTTATCAGAAATGTAATCTTTTTGAGTTGTTTATCCATTCAATGAATTACCAATGTAAAAAATCTGTAAACCTCCTCGAAAATCATATCTCTTATACTTGTGTGCCCATATATCATAATAATTACTAGTTATTTGTTTTGAATAATTTTAGAAGTTATAAATAAGGGGGCTACACTTCATATTTCAATACATAAATATAAGTATTATTTCTACATAAAAAAAGAAACCTCTCTCTTCCTCTCTACCAAAAAATATTACAAAATGAACTCTGATTCAAATTCTTCTAGTTCATCTAGTTCAGGGTTATTTGATTACATGGTGAACGACTATGTAGAGTGGCATGAATCAATTACCCAAAGGCGAAAAGAAGATGACTTGATCGAGGAAGCGATCAATATAGCTGTTGTTCCCTTTGTAACATCACCTTACCAGGTCCCCTTCACTCTTGAACCTACGTACCAAAGGTGGTATGTACCAAGAGATCGAGAATATGCTGATATTCAGTTATATAACGATTACTTTAGTCCCCAACCATTGTACCCTGATAATATGTTTCGTCGACGGTTTCGCATGCGGAAGAATGTGTTCACACGCATTGTTAATAAACTAAGCGAAAGTGATGTTTACTTTCAACAAAGGCCGGATGCCACCGGAAGACTAGGTGCATCCCCCCTCCAAAAATGCACTGCAGCAATTCGAATGTTAGCATACGGTACATCTGCCGATGCAGTTGACGGGTATCTTAAAATTGCGTCAAGTACTGCAAGAGAAGGTCTTGCTCACTTTGTTGAAGGGGTCGTAGCTCAATTTGGACCAAAGTACTTGAGGAGAGCGAGTACTATGGATGCTGAACAACTCCTCCGTGAAAGTTATGTTCGTGGATTTCCTGGTATGATGGGCAGCATTGATTGCATGCATTGGGAGTGGAAAAATTGTCCGCGTGCATGGAAAGGAATGTATCAAGGTAGAAGTAAAACAGCAACGGTGATCTTGGAGGCTGTTGCTTCGCAAGACTTGTGGATATGGCATGCTTTTTTTGGCACCCCAGGTTCTTGTAATGATATAAATGTCCTCCAACGGTCGCCGGTGTTCTCTGATATATGTGAGGGAAAAGCTCCAGAGGTTACCTTCAATGTCAACGGAAATACATACAATATGGGTTATTATCTTACAGACGGTATCTATCCGAAATGGGCAACATTTATCCCAGCAATCAAACATCCACAAACTGGTAAGCACAAATTATTTACCAAGAAGCAAGAGAGTTATCGAAAGGACGTTGAACGTGCCTTTGGAGTGTTACAAGCTCGATTTGCAATAATACGTCAACCAAGTCTAGCATGGTCGACCGAAATTTTATTGAAAATCGTAATGGCTTGTATTATCATGCACAATATGATTGTTGAAGATGAGCGAGATGGATATTTGCATTATGATGCAACTGAATTTATCAATGATCAACCGCAAAATTTAGCTGGATCACCAACTGGTAACAACAACCAACCATTTACCGTGAGAAGTGGACGATTGGATAGGCTCAATCTAAATGGTTATATGGAAAATAGAAATAATGTTCGTGATAGGGAGACCCATATTGCACTAAAAAATGACTTGGTTGAGCATATATGGGGACGTTTCGGCAACGAATGAAGAGATGACCAAAGTCGTTGTTAATGAACATTGTATTTTAATTTTTAATAGATGTCTTTGCTATATAAGCTATGTTATTTAAATTTTATATTATTTTTGTACTTTTCATTTCAAAAATTAGAAAAAAAATTGAAACAACTTACATACATAAGTGATTGTTAATATTGTTCTATTTAAAATGCTCTAATTAAAAAGAAAAAAATTAACAATGTTTAACTTTTTTTAATTAATTATGTAAGTTCAAAAATTACAAATAAATAATAGAGAGTAATACATGTTTTAAAAAATAATAAATAAAACAAGAGTGAGAAAGAATAAATGATGGGGTAGTATAAAAAAAATTAGGAGAGAGAATGGTGAGTAACCTCACCATTGTAGATAAATAAATAAGGTGACTTATACTAGTAGCTTAAGATAGTGGAAAGTGAGGTGGAAGATGATTTGGAAAAGAGATAAATAAGGTGATTTGCATAGGTGTGAGTAACCTCACCAATGCTCATGCTCTTAAAGACTTTGACTTGTTAAGCCTTGTCGGTTGAGAATGGAGTAAAAGTTTTAGGGTTTAACAGAGAATCAGAGAAATCAGAGAGTTTTGGTTCGCTGGAATAGGGAAAAGGGAATCAGAATGATTCCCTTTATTGGTGTTTGTTTTTACAATTTTGTCATTCCCATTCACCCATTTTATTTTGGGTTTCACCTAAACCCATTCCCCACCCCCCCTAACCTTTTGCATTCCCATTCCCCTTCATTACTCACGCCCCTTTCTCTCTCCTCTCAAGCCTCTCCACCGTCGTCGTCTTCTTCTTCTTCGTCGAGGAGAGAGAAAGAGGGTAAGAGTTGGTTTAAAGGTTTTGGGGGGAAATGGCGATGTCAGCCATTGATTCAAGCTCAAGAAATTGGGGTTTTGCTTTTGCAATTAGGGATTGTGATATTTGTTATGAGGCTTTTTAGGCCTGGGTTTCCGTTAACGGGTTCCGAACCAAGGCCTCCGACGACATTTGTAACTGTACCTTATAGTGAGTTCTTGAGTAAGATTAATGGTAATCAGGTTCAAAAGGTTGAGGTTGATGGAGTTCATATAATGTTTAAGTTGAAGAATGAAGGTGGAAGTGGTGTTATGGAGGGTGAAATGAGGGGCAGTGGGAGTAATTTGCAGGATTCGGAGTCGCCTCCCACCATTCTTCTACATCCTAATTCTTCATCTTCTTCACCACCTTCATTCCTACCAGTTAATCCAAACCTCCCACCACCGCCTTCATCGCCGCCTTCATGTTATTTTTTTTTTAATTTATGTAAATTTGTGGATTTGTCTTGTTTTAAACTGATATTACTCTTTAATTTGTTCATAAATGCCTTCATGGTGATTGAATTTTCTATAGAATTTGCCATTGTTGAAGTTTTTTGCTATATCACTAATGAATTTGTGTAGAATGGTTTGATTCCCTAGTTTGAACCAAACAGTCACAAAGGATATCAGTCAACATTTCATTCCGTTTCCTAGATACAACCAAACAACTAGGGCAAATCAGGGTTAATCCGTTCCTTTCTCCTTCATTCCCTTTCTGCATTCCATTCCGATTCCCCCGTGTGAACCAAACGGCCCCTTAAATTATTTTTTTCTTTTATATTTTTGAACCAATTAGAGTGCAAAACGTGTGATATAATTTGTTTTTTAAAAAAAATTGACCCTTTCTACAGGTAACCAGTAATCCGGATTAAAGAAAAAAAACGTAGGTGAAAGTTGGGATTATTTAAAGTAAATTGAGCAAAGTTGGGATTATTAAAGTGTATAATTCCTTAAAATTATTATATCTCATGTAATCCTGAAAGCAACTAAGAGATCCAATTTGAATTTCCATAAAATGGACAAGAATTTGCACTTCAACTATCCTGAAAGTTATGATCTGTTCCTTTAATACCATAACGGCCCAGCAAGCCAACAAATACCATTCCGTCATCTAAATGAAAGTCGGGAGAGAGAAAAGGTGAAAAGAGTAAATAAAAACAACTGTTTAAGTTTTAGGGTTTTTTGGTTTTCACCTTTCAATTTGGGCTTGGGCCTAATAACTTTTTTTTTTAAAAAAGACTTTTTTCGGGTTGACCCGACCTGATTTTGACCCGAAAAGAATTTCGGGTTACGTGGATCATTTTCGAGTTGAAATTTTCAACCTTAACCTAACCTATTTAATTTCGGCTCGGGTTCGTGTCAACTCATTTAAGTTTTCGTGTCGAAATTCTCAACCTTAACCCGCTATTTTCGGGTCGGGTTTTCAGGGTCGGATCAGTTTTTGTCACCCCTACTTGTCGTCGCTCTTGCTCAATCTAGGGTTTAAGAAAACCTTCTGAAATCAAAGGTACCCAGAATCTATCATCAATGGATTATGAGAAGAAGAATCTCGAAGATACAGTAGTATCCTCTTCCGTTTTGACTTATCTTGATCCACTTTACTGGTTTGTCCTCTCTCCCCTGTTTCTAATTTTAATTTCACTCTAAAAAAATTTGCTCAAATTTATTGCATCTAATTTAATTTCTAAAATTTTCTTTTAGGAACGATAGATTTGCTAAGGAAGAATATTATGAATGGCTCAAAGATTATTCCCATTTTCATCACCTAATTTTGGAGAATATTCAACCTAATTCCTTTGTATTTTCTCTGTTTCATTTTTTTTTTTTTTTTTTTTGGTAGAATGTTAATACTGAAGTTTTTTTGGGCTTGATATGAATTTGATAAGTTTCATTTGTTCAATTTTTAGGTTTTGGAATTGGGTTATGGAAATTCCCAATTAAGTGATGAAATGTATAAAAATGGGATTAAGAATATCACTTGCACTGATTTATCCCCAATTACTGTTGAGAAAGTGCAGAAAAGATTGTTGTTGAAGGAATTCAAAGGTTCGTGCATTTCTTTGTGGGATTTTCTTCCTTCAATGTTACAATCATCTTGCTTGCTGTTGTGAATTCTATGCCATTGTTGTCATTTTGCTAACACATTGTTGTTGAAAGCTTAATTCTTTAAGTTTGTCCCAGATTCGAATTTTGGAATTGGATTGAATTTATAGCCTATTGTCATTGATTATCTTGTATGATGCTATTGATTTTTGGTGTGAACAAATATATAGCCTTCCACGGACATGCTCGGATATTTTTAAGGTGTACATCATTTTGTGCTTATTCAATGTGTTGTTGTTGCTAATTGTTGCCCTTTCATTAAAATTCAATTTGAATTTAGAGAAGATTCGAGGTTTAATCACTTGTGGAAAGTATGATTGTCAAGCTGTTTGTCTTGACTGATTTTGAATGCATTTTGGTTTAGCAGTACTTATTGTTGCACTTTCTTGCCCCCTTTATCTTAACTTTGGATGATTTGTGCTGCCTTAAATGTCAGAAATAAAGGCCATGGTTGCGGACATGCTAGACTTGCCATTCGCAGATGGTTCTTTTATGTTGTTATTGAGAAAGGAACAATGGTGAGAACAATATTAGTAGCTTAGCCTTAAATATTTCTTTTGTAAGTGCACATTGGCTTTTAATTTGCCAAGTTTGGATATACTTGTCATTTAAGGATGTATTGTTCGTGGACAGTGGTGATCCGTGAAACCCAAAAGCTGAAACCATTAGCAAGGTCATGGCAATGCTCCAAGGCATCCACCGGGTATTGAAGCCAAATGGTATCTACATATCAATTTCGTTTGGGTAGGTAGTACATTCAAACTTTGGTTCACTAAATCATATAAGCTCTAGCATGGATTTTTCTCCTCTTTATTTCTTAACTTTTCTGTTGCAGCCACACTTTAGGTGTCCATTATTTGAAGCTCCTGATTTTACATGGTCAATGAAGTGGAGCACTTTTGGTGATGGATTCCATTATTTCTTCTACACTCTAAAGAAGGTTAGGTTAATTTCTTATGTTTTATGAACTAGGTAGGGTTTTAAGTGTGAGAACATAACCAACATTCATTTACTGAATGGAAAATGTTACATATTCCTATAACCCGCATTTTGAGTCTATTCTAATTTATAACACTTGAAGAAACAATTTTTTATAGACTAAGGTTATCTTGTATAAGCTCTTGGAATATATCACCTGTTATGTTACTCAGATTTATGGATATAGTGCCAAGTGTACAACACAACCATCATGAAAACTTTGCATATATTTTTGTCCAAAATGAACTTACTCATGTTTAATGTTGAGTTTCTGATTTGAGCACTTGAGGTGAAATGGAGAATCAAAGTGATATTGAACTTATAGAACACTTGTAACTAGAATATGAGGAGAATAGTAGACAAGAGGACTTGATTTGTGTGTCATAGAAACCTGTATAGAGTGTATACCACTTTACCGGTGCATGTCATTCATATTATTGGATGTATGCTACTATGCTTCACTTAAACTTGCAATAATTAGGCCAAATGATGCTATCTTTTCTTTCCAATATGCAATTTGAATCCCATGAGACTGCATCCTTTCAAAAATGATTCTTAAAAATTTGATCATGCATAATTATGTTCAGCTCTGTTATTATGCTAAATTTCTTAGTGCAAGTGAATTAAGTTTTAAGTTTCTATGCTGCAAACCACAGGACACAAGATCATTGAATAGTTATCAACCTTGTGAAAGGCTAAACCTTCCATCAATCTGCTTGTATCAAGATGAATTGGAAGGTGAAGATTTCTTATTCAGGACCAACATTGATGAACCGAAGGACAACTAAAAGGTGAAGTGGTCAAGAGGCAGTGTCATTGTAACTGGGTTTTTTGCATTCTTATTCTCTTGTTAACCTTTCTAATGGTGATCATGAATTATGTTTTTCATATCAAATCATTAGTCCTTATTTGCTCAAATGATTGGGCAAATCTTATTGGCTAGGTTTGGTAATTAGAGTTTTGACAAAAAAAATAAGCTTATTTGACCAAATTAGAGGTTTGGCTGCATAAATCATTTAATTTGGTTGTTTGGTTAAAGAGATTTTTTAATGAGCTGATTGAGGCACAACTA